CAGCAGGTCACAGACTGATTCACCAGTGTGCCTTAACTCTGTTCTAATGCATTTAATTTGTGATCTCTGCTGAGGATGCCAGTTGTGAGAGTGAGAAATGTGGTTACTTGTCTACAAGTCAACGGACTGAGCTCACAGTTAATTTCACATAGGCCACTGATGGATAGCAACAACTTTTGGTTACCATTCATCTAGGTAGGATTTGAATCAGCAACCTAGAGCCAAATGGCTCTGTATTCCACTACCAGTCCGCTAGTTCTCTAACTACATTAAAACTCAAATCTGTTGTTTTTTCTTGCAGTCTGTCCTAATTTAGCACACTACCCTTCCCCTCTGCTGCAGTGTCTTGACTAGCCTTGCATCTTGTAAATGTATATCTGATTCAGAAGGCATGTCTCAAGGGTCTTGATAGTTCCATGAGTGAACAGTACTCATGCACACCTGACATTCAGCATCACATCTTGACCCTAGCCTTTGAATGAGCTCTCTCCCCCACATCCCCAGAATTTCACTTGACTATAGAGCTCATGATGTTTCTTTTATACCAACACCTGATTGATGCCCCCCTCACTTTCTCTGGTTTGGGAAGACATCCACAGGATCTACCGCAAGCGGCATCTTGAGTTTATTTTGTTGGCAAGAGCACCACCAGTCGAACTGCCGGGAATATGAAATGGATTACTAAATATAAGCGGAACTATGAAGAAAGACAGTGGAGCTTATTCCGTATTGCATGTCTGCTGTGGAGCACCAAAAGTAATAATTGTGTGCACCTGAAAATATGAACCTTTGAAGCTGGGCAAGCCAGTTGGCCAGTATTGGGGCAGTGAGGTCTGAATTTGAGAGAAGAGCTCAGTCCTACGAACCTTGTTATATTTGCTGTGAGGCACCACGTTTGGCTCCTGAAAAGACCTCCGATGTATCACCCCCACTGGAGCAGTTCGGAGAGGCGCTAAAGGTGGTGTGTTCAGGCCTCCTTGGTCAGGGGGATGTTTATCTTTACATGAGGCTTTATGCGGAGGATGGAAACAATAAAGAAAGCCATCTGTACAGTCTTGGGAAAAAGACTATCCAGTGAACAGGCAGGATTTATTATTTTTAATATCAAAAAAGATGTCCATATCTACTCTGCTCATAAACTCAGAGCAAACTGGCTTCAAGTTAATGAAGAAAGAGACATAGGGGGTTTAAAAAAATAGCGTAATTTGGGGGCCCACAAAATCTGAGTAAGTGACAATATTAAAATGATCAGTCAAAACAACCCATCCCCAGCACACAAACCTTTGTTCCTTTCCTCTGTTAGGGCACATTTCTGCTCTCAGTTCCACCTTTCAGAATGCTGGCAAAGGGAACCAGTGTGCCCTCAATGTCTGACACAGGCGGCCAACGTCAGCTTAAGTTTTCTTCCCCCCACAACACACACTCAATATTGTGGGTGATTTTCACCCCAGTGAAAAGAGCCTGCATGAGACTCTATTCATCACTTAAGTACAGCCTCACAATATGGGCTTAAGCAGAGTGGAGCAGACCCTGTGCACTGGGAGAAGTTTCACACTCCTGAATTTGGGAGCCTTTCTGCAGAACGAAAGCCCAACATATGCTTAAAGCCTTGTTTATATGAGAAAGTTGACCCAGTTTAATGAAAGGTGTAAATTTAAGCTTTTTTCATTAAACAGATGCAGAGCCCTTGTAGATGTGCTTATTTGGGTTTAAGGGTGCCTTATTATGGTTTAGCTTAAACTGATTCCTAACTGACTTAAACTAAACCATATAAACATGTCCACACAGCCTTCTGCACTGGTTTAACTAAACTGTTTAAAAAAAAAAATCACACATTTGGTTAAACCAGTATAACTTTCTCATTTAGACAAGTCCTTCGATAAGACTTAAAATGGTGTTTGGGATAAGGGTTCTTTCCTTACTTAAGGTTAAATGCAGGATCAGATTCCTTGAGAATGTATTTCAGATGCTTCATACAGGTTAAAAACAATTCCAGTAAAGATGAAATTTCTGAACATTTGTACATATCCTTATAAGCTGTACAGTCCTTTAAAACAAAAAATGCAAAATAAATGCAGACAAATTGGGTAGATCACAGCATGTTCAGGGTTCAGTAATTCATAATAAATTGCCAATCCTGTCATGCATAAAGAAATCTTTTGCAGTGTTTCGCCAGACACAGAAACGTAGATAAATAATTACAGCAAAGGGCTAATAAATATTTCAGCTTTAAAAACAGCTTATTAAATTGAAGGGGAAGCGGGAAGAAACATAGTGAAAGCATTAGCTATAAATGAAGTTTCTTAACCTAATTGTCAAGGGTTGAAAACGTGTAGGCTGAAAGCTGTTCAACCTTTTTTTGAGAAAATAAAGGTTTGAAATGTTCCTCCTTTAGCGTGACTGAATTCCTTTAGAATGTGACCTCAACATGCCTTTCCTCTATCTTTATCTGCCGACACAGCAGAGCTGTTGATCTTTCACCAATGACCTGCGCAATCAATAAACAACCTACAAACTGTCTCAACAGAAATGGTCCAAGCAATGGTTTGTCTTACATCTCCGTGGCACCAACCACTGCTATTACTGAACCCTTCCCTTGGATCCATGGTTGTATCTCAGTGTGAATCGGTTGACAATACTGGAGTCAGACATTGTTTTCTTGTGCGCCCCAGACAAGTTTAAGCTGATTGGGTATCTGATTTTGCTGTTGGATGCAGTCACAAAAACTGCTTTGCATGTTATAAACACTATATACAAATTCTCGCCATCTTACTGATTATTTAAAGTCATTTCACAAAGAGAATCCAGGTTCATGTAAATAAAACCTGAACAAACTGATCAAGTCAATGTTAAATAAATAAATAAAAAAATCAGAGCGCTATCAAATTACCAAAATACTGTTTGAGCATCACCTGACTACACTAAATTATAAATGAAAAGTAACACTCTCAGTCACTCACAACTGTCCGCAATGAAAATGAAATGACAATAGGACCCCCCCCCAAAAAAGAAAACCATGACCTTGTGACTGTTCAGCTGACACGGATATTACCCTGTAAATACCACCCCATATTAGAATACTTGAAAAACAATTAAAGTAAAGTTTCTCTGTTGCATAACATAAGAAAAAAGTTACTTGGATTTGCAAGACTAATTTAAAAAAAAAAAAAGGGGGGACGAATTTTGACTCATATTTGACCCATGTTTAAAAAAAAAAAAAAAAAAAAAAAAGAGGGGGCAATTTTGACTCATATTTGACCCATGTTTTTAAAAAAAAAAAAAAACGGTTTTACAACACTCAAAACTAATAAAAAGGT